TTAATTGATATCTTAGTTTACATTTCGATCTCATTCTAAACTTAGTAAATAAAAGAAATAGAAATTAATTATATTATTAATTAGTTCATTCCTTCTAATTTTTTTGAAAAAGGAATCTTTATTATTTAAATAATTAAATTGCTATAATAACTTTGAGGTATTAGATTCGAAATAAAGTTTATACTTTTATAAGAAAATAATCTGACAAATATATAATTCATGATGACAAAAATTCGTGGGTTGAATTTATTTACAGGTAATCATAATGTGAAAAATTATTATAATAATTGTATTTTATTTAATGAATTAAGAATGCCATGCAAATTGTAAAGAATTTTAGGGGCCTATTATTTTTGATAGAAAATTTTGTTATACAGAATTTTCTTAGTTTTGACATAATTCGTAACAGGTAGAACAGTGTTAAACAGTAGAAAAATAGTAAATTGGTTATTTTTTACCAAAGTTTAGAAATGGTAATATTAAAAACTAAAATAACTTGTCCAAGAATATTATGAAGAAATAGAAAAATATGGTGATTGTTTTCGTAATGCGACTACTTGGTAATTTCAATCTATTTTTTCGTTTGATTATGTATAATAAAGAGCTGGATATCCATTCATGAAGAAAGTTAGAAAAAAATTTCTTATTGGCTCATATGTAACCAACCTACTTAGGTTTTATTTTTAATCAATTTTCTAAAATTGATGATTTAGTTATGATCAGAATTATTTATATTTAAAATTTGATGTGAATTTGAATGATCATTTATGAATTCAAAAGTAATTTTCTTTATTAATGTAAATTAAATAAGAGATCTGATGTAATAATATTTTAAAAAAGTATTGATGGATAAAAATAAAGTAAGGATGGGAAGTGATTAAATATATAATCTTATAGTTTTTAGGTATAATAAATCATTAAATAAGTAATTTATGGATAAATATCATTTATATAATAATGTAGAATGTAATATTAATGAGGATATAATAATATATCCTACATTTGAATCAATGTAGTTAAGGAAAGAACTAATAGAAGGTTATTTATTTATTCTAAATACAGGAATTTATGCCTATGGTTATACAATACCTTCAGTAGTTCAACAAAGAGCAATAGTTCCAATAATAAAAGGAAGAAATGTTGTATTAAAGAGTTTAAGGAGTACAAGTAAAACAACAGTTATTGCATTATCAGTATTATAAATTATTGATTTATCAGCCAAGTAGAAGTGTTTTATAATTATTCTTAGTGAAACTTAGGTTTTAATTTTGTCTAAAACAAAAGAAAAGACAGAATAAATTGCGAAAATTCTCATAGCTTTGGGCGATTTTCTTAACATTTCAAATTACAAATCATGTTTTGGTGTAAATTCTATATAGGATAACATCAATATTCTATAGAATATATAGAATGGAGTATAAATGATATCGAGTTCTATTGATCAAGTTTTTAAATATTAAAGAAACATATTAACTTTTAGCCATTTAAAAATGATAATTTTTGAATTAAGCTGATGAAATATTTATTGATAATTAAACTAAATCATAAGTTTACGATATCTATAAATGATTGTAACATAAATTTAGAAAATTTTAGTGACACAAACTTTATCATAAGATATTTAAGATTTTATTGAAAAAATTATAGACAAACCTCTAATCATCAAAGGGTAAAGAAATGAACTTACATTACAAGGAATTAAGCAATTTTTTGTTCAAATTGATAAAGAAAAAAGAATGGAAGTTTGATACTTTATGTGATATTTATGAAACAATAACCATTTTACAAACAGTTATCTTTTGCTCAACAAAATAAAAATGTGAATGGTTGACAAACAAAATGAGATATCTTAATTTTTATGGAGCATAAATGAATGGAAATATGAGTTACCAAGAAAGAGAGAAAATTATGACTGATTTTATATAAGGAAATTAAAATTCTTGATTACTACTGATATTTAAGGAATAAGTATTGTTTATACTATTATTATAGGTCTTGATATTTAAGTAATCCTTTGATTATCAACTATGATCTACCAAAGTCAAAAAAATTATACATTGAAAGAATTGGAAGAAAAGGTAAATTTGGAAGAAAAAGCCTTGTCATTAACTTTTTAATACAAGAAGATTTCAAAATTCCAAGTGAAATTGAATAATATTATTGGATAAGAATTGAAGAACTTCCCATAAATTTTGCAGATTATTTATGAAATCATAATCAATTCTATAAATATATATTTACTTTATTAATTATTATTATTTATTCAATTATAATAGTTTATTATTTTTAATTCAATTAAATTGAGTAGATATTAAATTATATTGAATTAAAATTTTATATTAATTTGAAACTCTAAATATATTCTGAAAGTTCCTTAAAATAGTCATCTTTTTTATTATATAATTCTTCAGCATCAAGTAATATATTGGTTAATAATTTGAATTACCATTAAAGTTCTATGACTAATTCATTTATAATGATTATATCTAAAAATTTGAAATTTAGCAATATATAAATTTAAAATCATAAAATACTGCCATATAAAGCATGGAAAGATTATTGAATGATGAACATGATTAAGAAAAATTTAATCTCTTTATAATGTTAATATACCATATTAAATAAATTGGAGGAGTAGCATTTATTGAAGCTAGTTCATTTTCATGTTAAAACTGCACTTTTTAAGAGATATTATCATTAGCTAATTCTATTTTTGATATCGATAAATTAAATGAAAGCAATTTAAAACTTTTCTGTAAATTCAACAAGATACAGTTTTGAACAAATTGAAGGTTGAGGTTGCTTATTAAGTCTTAGAATAGTTTATAAATATTTAATTTATTAACTAAATTTTTGTCTAGAATGTATTATCTTGATAAATATAAATATTATCTAAAATTAATTAGAATGAGAAATATAATTTTAAATAATTGGATTATTATCATCATCTGAGATTTTATGAATCCCAAATGATTAAAATTAATTGATTTAATTTGAACATCATGATATTTACATAAAGAATATCATTATTGAAGGAATGTTTATCACTGCATTTCTAAATATAATTAATGTATCATTTTAATCATTTAAAATTTATATTCCAAGAATAGATTTAATGATTTATTTTATTTAATTTATAAAAACTTAAATATTATTTACAGATTGCTTAGAAACAGTCAAATTATATACTTATTAGAAATTTTGTTGATGCCACAGAAACTGTTTAATAGTTATATCTGATATCCTTATTGATGATGATTGCGATTTAAGAAAAATATTAGGATGCAAATAACATGCTACTAATGTAACCTGTATAACAAGAGTTGCTTGTACAATTGCTACTTGATAATGATGCAAAAATAAATGAATGTTAAATTTAGCCTGTTTCAGATTCTAAATATTATACATAGAATATTTGATATAATATAAGGTGAATTAAAAGTTAAATCCAATTTATTCTCCAAAGTAAAACAATTTTAATATATTATTAATAAATTTACAAATTTAAGGTTTATTAATTCTTCTAAATGAATTGTTTTTGAAATAACTAATTACCCTAACTTTAGCCTTTTAAAAAATTAAATAATTATTGAATTAAAAGTTATTATTTATAAGTTTAATTTTTTTAAGAATTGGAAGCTTTTTAGAAATGTGTAATTTTTTGATTAATCCTTAACTCTTTAATTTTTCAAAAAGTATATGAATCTACTCTTATTTTTCTTTCTTAAATTTAAAATAATTATTCGGATTCTTTTTACTTTTTAAGGAAAAAATTTCTTCTAAAATTATTTATTTAATATTAAAGCAATATCACCATCTATAAGATATTTTTTTATTTAAATTTAAATCTATTTATTCATTTGTACTCAAAAAATATAAAATGCTGTCTATTTATTATCAATCGAACGTGGTGGATTCTACATTGAATAAGAAGGAGTTTTAAGAAAAATTGGACCATATGGCCTTATCTAAAAATTTTATAAATTAATCCTAAGTAATTTATAGAGGAAAATATAATAGTAAAGGTGAAAAAGTTTATAGTAGGGATACAATGTTTAAACGTAGTAAAAATTGAATTATGTGATAATTTTGGAGAGCATTAAAAATATTAAGGTGAATATATTAGTAATGAAAAAAAAATTGAAAAATGGATAGAAATAGAGTAGAAAATTAATTGAATTAAAATTGTTAAATAAATATTTTATTAATTTTTTTCTTTTTTAGGTTCAATAAAATTAATATTAATAGAACAGTCCTAAAAAAATCATAATGTATCAAAAGTATTTAAATGAGTTGAATATGAGGCAGTTATTTTGAAAAATTCTTATTTTTATAATATTATAAATGTTAAAATCTAAAAAGTTGATAAAAAAAAAAGAAATATAGATAATTACAGAATATTAATTTTTTGGAACTTCTTTTTTTACTAATGGAAAACAAACTAATTGTGAACCATCTTCCTTGCTCATAATCTTCAATATGGTTATTTTATCTTATTTCTGATATCCTGAATGTTAAAATTTTCTATTCATTTTTGTGCAAAAATTGACTAAAATGGATGATAAACTTAATTCATACAAATTTAAACTCTATTTTACATTAGAAACCATAAAGATCATCCTTTTATATTAAAAATAATATATTTCTACTTGAACGCTTAAAAGATTTCTTAAAATTCATAATTTTTTTCCTTTCTAATATAAGTCTAGTGTTTTGATTTTTGTATAACTATTCGAAATAGGATTAGAATTATGACACTTTCTCAAAAGTTCATTATCTACATTAAGCAGCCGCATATTAAAAGTTTTTGTTATCTTTAATAAAAATTAAATCTAAAATGTAATTTTTTATTAAACAGTAATATTTGAGCGCCAAATAGAAAGTTCACTTCTATAAAAAATTTGATTAAATTTTTCTGCAGATAATTATAATTTTGAAATATTTTTAGCATTTTGTTAAAATGCCTTTTAATCATCTTTAATGACTTACACAAAAACTCAAAAAATGATCTATTTATTAATAGAAACATGACATTCCTTTAATTATATTGGTATAAATAATACTAAGGTTGAATTAAAACTTAATTAAATCTTTGCTTTCATTTACTAATAGAGATAATTAAAAGAAGTTAATTTATTACCTTATTAATTGATGATATTTAGTTAGATTATGTAAATATTTTAAAATAGTCTATAATCAATCTAGCTAATAAATAATGCACCATATATATTTATAAAATAAGTTGATAACAATATATATAAATAGTAAGTTTTTTTAATTGGCAATAAAAAATCAATTTTTTCTAAATTGAAATTCATAAATAATTAAAAATATATATAAATTCTTTGATATTATTCAACCTTCAGAATATATTTATTTGAAAAAAAAACAAAAAGCAGGTCAAAAATTTTAATTCTCTTCATGAAAACATTAATTATTTGGAATGAATAAAATTAAATTATAGAACATATTTTAAACGTAAGTTACTAATATTTTATATAAAAAATAAAGTTAATAAATCAATAATATTAAGGATTTACAGTAAATATTTATATACTTAATTTATTTATTTAATTCAGCGAAATAGGATAATTAATATATAAGAAAATATTGTTGCAAATTCATATCAAAAGAATAAAAATGGATCTATGTCTTTCTTTTCTATTTAATAGTTGATCAATATTGAAGTTTTTGAAGATTAATATTGATCATTTCTATTATAAAAAAGTTTTTAGATAGATTGATTCTTATTCCTTTGTTATAATTTTTTAACTATTTAATTTTTCCTATATCTGAACATCTATTTCTGAATAGATAGAATCATCTTTTTTCCTAATTGGCTTTTCTGGTTTTATTATAATACCTTAATTCAAAGAAAAGTACTTGTCTAATCTGGATTACATTTTACTGATATCTTTTTAAAATAATTTTCTTTTGAGGCTCTACATTTTATAAATTATTTTTACTCAAATGTTTTCCATAACATTGCTGTTTGATTAAGTTTATAAAATTAACCATTGATTTTACTTAACTCTAAATTTTTATTATTGAAATGTTAACTGCCTGATATAATTAGATCTTAATATATCAGCACCCCAATTATTTTAAAATCTTTTCTATTAAATAATCACTTCATGAAATTTAAAGTTAAATTGAATGCAAGAAAACCAATTTTTTATTTAATCTCCCTCAAATTTTTATATGATTTTAAAGACTAAGAACAAAATACAATTTTTTGGCCTCCATCATACACTCCAACAATCCTTACTTTATGATTAAAGGTCTTTTTATTATTTCAAAGTCTTTTCAGTCCAATAATAATTATTAATTAAAATTATTAATATTGCTCTAAGCTAACTCTTATCTATGAAAAAATATTTAATTGTGGATATAAATTATCAAATGTATATAATTATTTATAAATAATTATTTAATTAAATCTTTAGTTAATAGATAAAAACCTTAATAAACTTGATATTAATACAAATAATGATTTTGAAGAAAAAACTTAACAATACAACAGAAATAATGATAACTTCATGCCTAAGATAGATTGAATTAAATCATTAAAAAAATGCAAAATTTTTCTATTATTCACAAATAATTTAAACTGTGAATTTTGATAAAGTCATCTTTTTTCAATTATATGATAAAAATCAAAGTCAAAGGGTTAAATCCTTTTGAAAATTCTAAGTCTTATAAAATTTTAGAAAATTAGCCTCATCACTTAAGAGTAAATAATAATCTTTATAACTTTAGAAAAAATATCTTTTTGACATTAGATTGTATGAAAGATTATATAAATATTATATATAAATTATAAATAATACAATAAAATATGATGAATAATCAAATTCGAAGAGTTTTGATACTTAAATTAATACCTAAGTTCTATTTAAAAGATAATTATCTTAACCAGAATTTAATAATACTTTGAGGAGAATTTATCGATTACTTATATAATTTTAATAGTTCTTAAAATTATAAAAGCAATAACAAAATAGAAATCTACAAAATTTTTGAATAAAGTTAATCTTTTTTAATTTTATATGTTTAAATTGAAATTTTAGTCAAATAATAAGTTTCATTAGTATAGATTCTAGAAGAAATTAAATAAAAAAATCCTGCGTTTTGAATGGTTATTTTTTATAGATTGAAACATTAAATGTTTTATTTTTATTTTATTTGATTTTTTATAAGAGGTCATTTTTAACTTTAAACTTTGATTTACAGTGAAGGTGTTCAAAGAGGAAGAAAATTAGATTTTATTTATTTAGATTAAGTAATTATCTTAAAATTTTCTAAATATAAATTAAGTATCACTATAGTATATTTAACATAAAGAATTTTGAATTGCTACATTTGTTTATTTTGTTAACAGTAGTGGATACAATTTTAAAAATATGTCTAAGAAATCTATTTAATTTAAATTTAATATGAATATTCAATTACATTGTTAAAAACTTAAAAAATATATTTAATATTAGACAAATTTTGATATTCTTTATAGGATTATATTTTATATATATTTGAATTTATATTTATCTAATCTTTTCACTAATATTGCAATTCAATTTAGAATTTATTTTGAATATTTTTGGAGGCTAACCATTTAAAGAAGTAACCTAATTTGAAGATTAGATTACTAAATAATTAAAGGATTTAAAGATTTTTGAGATTAATATAAATGTTAAAACAATAAGATTTGTAACATAATTAGTAATTCTTTACCTAACAATACACTTTTTTTGCAATTCTAACAATAAGATGAATATCTATATTATAGAACTAATAAATTCAATATTTTATATGAACAAATAAATAGTTATGTTTAGATAAATACAAAAAACTTTTTGAGAAAACATGATTGGTATGGTCGGTTAATCGATTTTTTTAAATACTTAATACAACTATGAAGCAATAGCAATTGAAACAGTATTATATTAATAATCAATTTCAAATCCTAAATTAAAAATATCAAATAGAATAATATTGGCAAATTATTTTATTTTTTATAAAAAAACTTTGATGATAATATACAACTTGGGCAATTTCAGGTGAATAAAATCATTAAGTTCTTTAGTATCCATTATAGGCTGTCTAAATAGAAAAAGCGTTTTATATCATCTAATACAAAATATACTCAATTTAGAATTTTTAATTAAGTAATAATTAAGATAGAAGAATCAATTTTTTATCTTAGTTAATAAAATGAACGCTTATATAATGTAAGAATAATTTATTGATAGAGAAAGTGACATCCTTGTATGTGTTCTATTTCTAAAACATCAAATAAACAATCAATATCTAATAATTGTATTTGTAAAGATGGTTATTATGATGATGATACTTAAGTTGATTTTTTAATATTTAGTAATCATTGCAATGTTATAATTAGTCAAATAATTGTTTAAAATCTTATTGTATTTTAGAAATACACCTCCTTTATATTATTGCAAATCTGGATTATTTGAAAACTTTACATAAAATTGTGAACATTTTAAATCCTAAATACTTTTCGTCTTAATTTAAAGATTATCATTATTATTAAATATTTGATGAAATTAAATTTAATTTATTTGGTTCAAATCCATTTTTTATATTGATCCTCATTATAATACAGAATTAATTATTAATAATGGAAATAAGATTAAATTGTATCTAGAGATATATTAAACTTTTATTCATCCAAAATTAACCTATAATTTACCAACATATATATTTAATCTTAGTGATGATAATACTATACCATTAATATCTAAAATAAACGATTAACTTAGAAATTTATTTGGAATTATTTGGACCTATACTTTTGATATTTTTAATGGAAATAATTATCTTGAAGAATTTGTTTAATTATAAACATTATTATAATTATTAGAATTATTTATTCCATTTTAAATATTCCATAAATAATCTAATATTACATTTGCTCAATTTCAAAATTTTGTATCATAAAAAACAATTCAAATCATAACTATTCAAACTAATTAATTAGAAAAAGAGATTGATCAGATGTATCTACATTAATTAATAATTCAGACTATTTTTAATTCTAATTTCGAATTTTTTGATTACTTTCAAGAATTTAAGAAAGGAAAATAAATTCATTTAAAATTTCTGGCTTAATTTAAAAATGAAATCATTCATAGTCAACATGATCTAAAATTAAAGTAAATTAACCCCATTCTTGCATTGTTAATTTTATAGAGTAAACAATCGAAGCTTTGAAACCATTAATAATAATTATAAAATGTGATTTTTGTTATGCAGCTCCATTTAACTACTAATTAAGATATTTTATTTAAGATTAAGATTTGATTATTAATAAATCTTGAACAGTTATTAGACTTCAAACAATTTGAAGTCTACTTTTCTTTATATGAAAGTATTCTTATAATTTCAGCTTTGAATTCTTATAGATCATTTTTGGAGAATGGAAAACGTTTAAGTATAACAAAGACTATTCTTAATTGTTCAAAATTAACATTAATAAATTAGCCTAGCCATTTTAAATTTCATTACCTTTTGAAATTTTATTAATCATTAAGAACAAGAAAATTTTAATGTTTATCTAAATAATTGTATAATTACATAAAATAATACTTGAATTTGCAGATATCAATCAATGATCAATTATTAGTATATCAAACTATTAAATTTTATAAGAGATTAATTTTAAAAATAAACAACACAAAATCTAAGAAAAGATTATCAAATGAAAATATCAAATATCAGTTAAGGTAGCTCCTTCATGAATTCAATTAAAAAGTTTAATATTTAAATTTCAGTTTTTGCTGAACTCCAGCTAATCTATAAGCAGAATTTTAGATGAGTAACTGTACTAGAAAAAAGAAGTTATTTTGACTTCATTATCACTACAATGAAAAGCGATAGATGATTTATTCATTAAGATTTCAACTGTTATGATTGCTTCAGATTAAGTTAAATAATAAATTTATAATATTACAGAATAATTGCTAAGTCTTATGTTCTAGAATACTAATGAAATTAATTATCTAACAAAAGTAAATGTTTAATAATTAAACATTGATGGTCAAATATTAAAATTTTAATAGGGAATAATTTTTTTAGATATTTGATTGATTTCGTGTTAAAAGAGTAAATTGATATCAATTTCAATCATTTATCTCTATCATAAAGTTTATAATAATAATTTTAAAAATTCTTTTATTTAACATAACAATCTAAAAAATTGAGTATTAAGGTTCATTATTACAGAATTGATATATTTAATTATACATTCTGTTAAAATCAAGATTTAAAATATGATTTATATTATAATGAATACTTTAATTTGGCTTATTCAGGATTATTATTAAAGTATGAGTTTTTAATTGAAGAAATTGATAATTAAAATATCTCAATATCTTTTAAGTTAAATACTCAAATAATTCAATATATAAATAAAATAATACTCAATCATCATTATTTTCAATAACCCACAAAACTCTGTAATAATATAAAATGAATAACCAATTCTATTATTTTATGGTATATTGATTGCTTTTTCATTCTTTCTTTATTTGAATTAATGTCTATTGAAATAAAATAATAATGAAAGCATAAATTATAATTTAAAGATTCTGATCATAGTGCTTATGAATTGCAAAAAAAAAAAGGAAAATGCTTTGTAAATATATTCAGGAAATTTGGCAATATTTAAATAAAAATAATTTAAAGTAATTTATATAATTTTTATTAATATTTAGTTTATCCATTAAATAACATCCTTAATTTATATGAAAAGTGAAATCTTAAAATTAAGTTTGAGATTTTAATAACTATCACTCATTATAAGTTTGTTAACACCAATTACATTTATAGAAAATAATGGTTAAATAAAAAAATAATTTTTGCAACTTTAATTCTAAATTGTAGATTTTTTCTCTTAGTTATCCTTAAAATTGTTCAGGCTATTTACAGATTTGGTGGTATATTGATTACAATTTAGTGTATTTTATTTTTATGTATACATGCCCTTTGTTATTTTTTTATATATTCTTTAACTAATGCATTAATAAATATTACAACTAATTTTTAGTTAAGTAGATCTTCAAAAAATCATTTAGAGATATCAAAGGATTTGGGAAAACTCTAATAACAAAAAAATAGATTTTTAAGAAATAAAAAAAATCCAAAATCCAACAATCCTCCATTAGATCAAATTAAAAACACCAAACACTCGAGATTGATTGTGAAAGATTATAATGATTAATGAATTATTCATTCAATATTTTATTTTAATTATTTATCAGTTATCTTAACTTAACTTTTTATTTTATGTTATCTTGGCTTATTGAATTAAGTTATCGTAAAAACATGAAATAGGAATTGATTCAAAAAAAAGGATAAAATTGGTTCAAAGAAATTGAATTTAGCAAGAAAATATAAACTATTTTTTTAAATATCACAAAGACTAGGATATGATATTATAAATTTTCTAAAAAATTAATAGAAGTATAAAAAAGCTATCAATATACAAATATATATTTAATTACTTAAATAAATATATAAATGAAATAAAATTAAATTTTGGATTGAAATTAACTTTTTAGCTTAATTTCAAAATCAATATATTTATCAAAGAATTGTATTTATATATGTAGATGTTCATTTAATTAATGGTTTATAATTTCATAATTCAATTTCTGTATACAAATTCTTCATATTTCTCAATCTGTATCTTACTAAGAAATAAAATAAAATTAAAAGAACTAGAATAATCAATAATAATGCTATCATCCAATGCTATTTTTTATATTATAAACTGGGAACTTCTAATGTAATTTAAAAAGTTCCAGTGTAATATTAATTTTTACACGATATATTAGTTTAAATAGTTTATCCATGTTTTTTAATATCACAATTTAAATATTATTTATTAATAGGATACAGTATTATTTTATTGTAATAAAAAGATAAAAATGTACCTAACTGTTCATTTTATTGTTCTAATTTTTTAATCATCATGACTTGCTAAATCGAATTTAAGTTACTCTATCCTTAAAACATTAAAATTGGAGTGATGTCATCTACATAATTAATTTAAGATATGTTGTAGAATGAAGCTGTAAAAAGGAGGTTTGATTAAGAATAGATTTACATCAATATTCCATTTGAATAAGCAGTTTTTGTAGATAATTAAAGATAACCATATTATGGAATAATTGCATTTATGTTATTGATTGTAAATTGACTCCCTTCCCCCTCTTAAATCTAATTAGGATAATTATAGGTTAAATAAAATATCACACTCATGTTGTTAGAAATGCATTAGATAAGACTTTAAAGGAAAAATTATTGTAAGACTTATATTTGGGTAAAGTTTAATTAAATTTTTGATTAAACAGGCCTAATTTCTACATCATAAAGATGTTAATCCCCAAATATTATTTTAGTTTAATTTATCATCAAAATCATATAATTTAGAGTTGTGTAATAATCAGGAGGGTAATTAGTTATTAAAATAATTGCTATTTTACTTACTAATTAATCCTGAAAAGAAGTATTTCCTAAAAACAATGTATCATAATCTATTACACATTTTCCAAAAGATTAAGGCCCAACTAATAATGTGAAATCATCTAAAAAAAAATACATACTTTAACAATTTTAATAATCTTGATCATTCTAATTTGCCAAAATAAAATTATAATTAAAAATTCTAGTATACTTTTAAATAGATTAAAAGTACATTTCTAAAGGTTAGACAATCATTTATAAAATATGACCTAAGTCATTAAAAATAAAGTTAACCAAGTATTATTTTTAGGCATCTTTTTGGCAAATAGAATATAAAGAATTATATTAAGATGTTGAAATAATACAATTAGTAAAACTTTAATTAGAATAGTTCAATGTCCATATGTAGTCTAGATTGATATTATAAATCACAATTGATTAATAGTTTTATATAGCATAATATTGATCATTTACAACATTTATTAAGTTAAAAAAAGTATAATTATCTAAAAATGTAATCCAGTTGGTGTCAGTTAATTTGCATTTATTTAAAATTTTGGAATCATTTGGTGTTGAACAGTTGAGTATTTATTAATTAACTAATAAATTTAATGGTATTGATAGCTATTTACTTGTTTTATTTATATAATTATTGCATACAGATTAATTCAATGTTATATTACTAAAATTTTAAATTTATGTAAAGTTTGAATAGTATATAAAGCTTTCATTAGGTGTAAATTATTAAGCAGAAACATTTAATGGTGTTGTAACTGAAAAATTAAAAATAAGTCTTGGGAAAGTATTATTAAAATAAGAGGAATTTAAAGATTTGTTGAAAGAAAAGGAGTATGTTTCAAAAAATAAAAGTTAATATAATTTATTTCCCTTAAATATAAGAGACCTCTATAAATTACTCATGCTTGATAAAAAAGAGCTAAATTATAAGTTTTTATAAAGTGACATTTTTTCAAATAAATTAGGGGTATAAATCAAAGTACCAAAACTTAAAGAAGAAACATAAAAAAATAAATTATCTGATTGGAGCTAAATACTATTATCATAAGGAACTCTTTAGAGTGATTTGACATAAAAAGGTTTTATGAAATTTTGGATATTCCAAACTTAAAAACAAATCGAATTCTAATAATTGCAAATATATGAGATGATAATTTAATAGTTTACAATATTTATCCCAAATATTTGATTTTAAATGTTAATATAACTAAGGGGTATTATTGAAAATTATAAATTTACTTCAATAATTAAAACATTATAAAAGTTGTTTATAAAAATAACAGAAGATATTAACTATGAATAAGTAGCAATTTAAATTGGATTGAATGTTAGATTAGAATAGTTCTAAAATAAATTACTTATAGTGTTTTAGTTTATGGTTTTTTAGATACTCTAATCAAAGGAATTTATTTGAATTTCTTTATTTTTTATTAATACTATTACACTATTGTATATCAAAATAAAATCAGAAAAATCTTATTTTATTTATAAATCATATTGTGATATATTTTGATTTAAATTTAATTGAAATAAAGAAATTGAATTTTGATAACTTAATCCTGCAACTAAAGTATATTATGCACTTAAACCATATTACAATGATATAACATTTGGTGATGTTTAGAATGAACTTAAATTCTAGCATTCTGTATTGGGTAATAAATTTTATTGCTAACATAAATAGAATTCTAGGGTTTAATCTTTATAACCTATTATATAATAAAAAGATATATTCTTGTTTACTATCTATAATAAATCAAAATTCTTAGTATTAAATTCACAAATTTTCATAAAAGTAATATTCTAAAATATACCTAAAGTTGGATCATTTTAATTAACAGTATAATTAAGCAATTCTCCCTAAAATCCAGTTATTTAAAAGATATATTATTATGATTATGATAAATTATAAAAGAGATGCTTTTTCTAAAACTTTAAAAAATATTCATTAGATAAGGTTTTATAAATATTAGTATCATTTTTATCCAATAAATTAATCGTCAAGGAAAATTCTATTTGGAATCTTGATTTATTCTATTATTATTGGCTGAATATCGTAATTTTTTAATTTAATTTAACTACATTTGTTAAATTAATCATCAACTTTGGATTTGATATCTAATAGACTTAAATAATAGAATCAAATGAAAATAGTTCATTAGTAAAGATGTTATAATAGAGTAAAGTTGTATTAGATGGTAAATTCAAAGTTGAATATAGATTTTATTATATACCTTAAATTATAATTGATTTATCAACCTAATATAGCATAAAATATTAGTTAAATATAAAGTAATTGAAAGGATTCGGTGTAAAAGTGTAAGATGTTGAAATTACCAAAACGATTTCACCTACATATCCTTAGAATTGTGAAATATAATTTTCTTACTTTATTATGATTTGATCACATGAAGCCTGATATTAGTAATTGTAATAAATTGAAAAGGATTAATATTAATCATACATATTATTATCTAAATACGTTGTCAGATCTACAAACTAAATATCTTAAGATATTTATAATTAAATTAGTGATTGAGTTGTGAGTACATAGATTAATTTACTTCCTTAATTTGCAACATCAAAATCTATAAATTAATCAATCCAATATGTCAAATTTTGAAATTCTTTTGAAAATAAAGTTAGAATAGAATAATTTTAAAAATATTATACATAGATTATATAATTCTAATCTCCTATTTAATATAATTTAAAATTTGTTTTAATAGGTAACATTAAAAATACTGTTGGATTTTAATAAATTAAGTTCATTTAATCTCCAAATTAAAGAATGTTAAGTTAATTATTTTCATAGCAATCAACTATATAATAATTAGGTTCAAAGGAAAATGTGGCAGTATAACATAAACCTAAATCTTCAATATTAATAGAAGGTTCAATTAATGACATAAGCTAATTTTTCCATTCATACAATTGTATCTAATCATCTGTTGAGATTGTGAGAAAATGGCTTTCATTTGAGGATAAAGATTTAAAATCTAATTTATTAATTTTATTACTTATTCCTTATAAGCTACTTATTTTTTCAACAGCATTATTTATTGTAATAAATGGAACTTGTGGATGATAAAAATATTTCATATTACTTTAATGAAGCAAAAAAATTTCTTATTCAATAAATGTTGGGAATCTCTTTATATAATTTTCATTCCAAATCTATTCTTTATCATAAACAGCTAATTATATATCGATATATTCTCCTTGGGTTGGGTAAATATAAAAATCTTATTATTTTTTGTAATGTTATTTGCTGCAAGTGCAAAAAATCAATATTGTTGTAAATAAATACATTTTATATTTAATTAATTTCTATAATCTTAACTAGAGTACATTTATAATGTTAAGATGGTTGATAAATGCTTTAATATATCTCTAAGTATAATAATATGGATTGCGGTTAATAGGGAAGATATAGATACGAGATCGTGAATGTAATAAGATTTTAATAGAAAGTTTAAAAATCTACAAATCACAAAAAGTAATAAGTTTAAAAGTCTAAAGTTCTAAATTAAATATTTAAAGAAGCCTCAAAAATATTATTATATTATAAAGATTAAATAAGAACTTTTAACATAAATTAATTTAAAGCAATTTCTAATATATATGATATTTTATAAAAGTTTAAAATGTATAATTAAATATTTAAAATATGGATTAATTATGAATCAATTAAGAAAATATTTTTTTTAATATTTTTTAAATCTTTAATATACAAGATAGTAGATTATTTAAATATTTATAACATTACAAGTAGAAAGATTAGAATTTAATGTTTAATAATCATTGATCATTATTTATCTTGATAATTTTTGACCTATGAAAAGATCCATTTTTTTTAACTAAATTCAATCAAAACAGGAAATCTATAAATAATCTCAGGAAGCTTAATTTATTTTTTGAAAATTAGTTTTATTTCTTAAGTTATTGATTAAGTATTCTCATTTATAAAAATAATGTAATAGTTATAAATTTAAAATAGAAAAAGAATTCTTCCCTAATAATAAAATAACTTTTAGTAACAAAACTAAACATTTATGGAAAAATAATATATCGGTTTATGATCAATTAAATAATTATTTTATATATTAAGAGAATCTTTAGAGCCCCTTAATATTAAAGAAAGTTGATATTTTCTTTCATAATATACAAATTATTTAGGGTTGAATTTTTATGTTTATTGTTTATCAATCAATCGTCATTTTAACTGAAATTACTAATAATTTTTAAGGAATTATTACATAACAATATATTCTTTTTTTAGTTTACAAAAAAATTTAGATATGTTAACTGGAAAATTATTAATACCAAATTACTATCCATATATTTTGTGATTTCATGAATTTTTTGAAAAATTAAAAATTTATATTAACGTTATAAATAAAGAATTATATTTCACTTCACAAATTTTTTATATGAACTTAATCATATAAAAAACCGTAAATATTATTTTAAGTGTTTTTGTTTTGATATTTTTGCATAGATTGTTTAAATTTATCTTAAATTTCATGATTTAATTTATATATTTCATCCCATTTATTTATCCAAAAACTATTACAATTTTAGAAATTGATTTCGAATAATAATTAATATGTTCTATAATAATTTTTGTAATTAAGGATAATTCTGATAGAATTAAATTATAGATAGTAGTAATAAGTAATAAAAAAATTTTTAATATTTGCGTGGGTAAATAAATATATTTTAAATTTAATATAATTATGAGTTTTCCTAATTTTGATAAAGATGAAGAGAAATTTGAATTAATCAACTTGATTAATAAAATACAAGAATAATTTCATATAGAATGGCTTCACTTAAATTTCAAATTTATTGCAGAGTATCAATAATAAAATTAAGAATACTAAGAAATAATAAAGGATGTAATGAATTATACTTTTGATGAAGATTAATATGATTTAATAGAGGATGAGTATCTTGATGAAAATAAAATTTAATATATTAGCAGTAAATTGTAAGAATAAGATTTACAGGATTATTTGCTATTTTAGTTTGAAATATTAAAAAAACAAATTAACAAATATTTTTTTTAAATATATTCAGATCCTCAATTTAATATTTAGATAAAAGAAAAATACAAAATATTACTGATAGAGGGAACAAAGGATTTTCTATTTCTTATTTTTATACAAACTGGAATAATAATGAATAACAAGTTTTAAAGATGCAGATTAATTATCATTACCTATAATTAAAAAGATTTTTCTATGTTTAAGAGATTTGAAGTAGATATTAATTATAAAATTTATACAGCAAAAATCATTTGCAATCTCTAATTAAATTAAATAGCATTTTATACTAATGAAATATTTTGTTTATATGATGTCAATAATTCACTTTTTGTTTAGTATGTTTTAAATAAATCAGAAAATGTTTCGATTTTTTATCATGATACTATTTTGTAAATAGAAGATTCAATGTATCTGAATAAATTGATTTATCAGAATTAAGTACTCATGTCTAGTAAAATAAGTTTTTTAAACTCATATAAAAAGCCTTATTAACTTCTATTATACAATGATTACTTAATAATATTTTTTGAAAATATTGTAAGTATAATTTATTGTAAAAATGGAAAATCATTGTAAATTAAAAAGAATCTTACAAACTTACCTGATAATTCTGATAAAGAAAGCTGTATTAGTAATAACAGCAAATTAATATACTAAATAGTGCATAAAGATAAATTCCATTCTTTTATATATTAATTTTGTTTGCTAAATGGGAAAATCATAAGAAAAATAAGAAATTTAGAAACATTTTAATCTACTCAAATTTACTTAATAAAATTTGATAAATTATTGGTAGCTATTTCATAAGATTATATTTAAGTTTATAGTACAATTTTAGCAAAGTAACTTTTGTATCTTCATATAAAAAATCAAATGAGACCATCTGATACATTGTTAAAAATTATTAATAGTGAATTCTTAGTAAATTTTGATTATAATAAATTATCAATTTGGAAATAAGATTTTTATGATATGAATTTCCTAATAAATAAATTTTAAACAGTCGATTTTAATTGAAATAAATATAATTATATTCATAAATAATAAAAAATTATTATAGTTAATGTTAGATATTTATATTGATTTTTGTGTTATTTTCTTAGATTAAGTATGCAAATAATTTTAACAAACTTACTGTTGAATTGATTTTATTCCCTTATTTCCAATTTATTTGAAAAATACTAATAATATGAATTAAATTGCCATTTTAGGAATAAAAGTAAAGAGAAATTTGGGTTTATATGTTTTCAAAATTTACAATCTTAGAGTTTAAAATTTAAATAAAAAGTAATGTATATTAATATTTTTGTCTTAATATAAATGAATATATTCTTTTATAATCAATATAAGAGAATATAAGGAGGCAAGATTACTAATATTCATGTTTAATTTTGAAATTTCTAAAATGATAAACATAAAATAATTTTAATAAATTATTAGTTACAAATAAGTGTTGATTATTAAAAGCCTTGAATCTAATGTTTTAATCTTTCTGATTTTTTGATACCATATATGATAGAGATAGTGATTAAGTGTTATTTTTGATGTAAGTTTAGACTACAATTACATTAAATTATATCAAGAAGAATAATAAATTTTTTTAATTTATAAAAACAAAAATGAAAAGATATTTATGAATCTTTAGTAAAGTAAAAGACCTTTTTGGATTAAATAGATTACAATGAGTTGGCTACAGAAATTTGGAATGAAAAGAACATAATCAAATTCTTAAAGACTATTAAATCACTCAAGATTTGAATGAATTATTAAATAATAAGGTTTATAATATATATAAAGAAAAAGATTGGTTGAATGAAATTTTTAATAATGATAGCAAAAATGGTTATTATAAGAAAGATATTAGAAGTTGCTCCTTGATTTTATAAAAAAGTATAAAATTTTAATTTATACACAAATCTATTTAAGACTTTCTTGATTTGTACGAGCTATTAGTATTATCATAAGATATTGATGTGATGTTATTTAATACTATGATAGAAGAATAGCCTAAAAAAAAGAAAAATGCTGATTGTTAAAGTTTATTCTAAGAATAATGGGTGAAAGAGAAATTATATATCAAGTTAATTTCAGCTATTTTCTTACTTAAAGGAAAAAAAGTTGAATCAAATAGAAGAAAACAAATAAAAAAAATTATTGAATTAATCAAATTAATAAGGATGCATAAATTTAAGATAATTAATTATTTAACAAAAATCTACAAGGAAAATAGTTGATTTCTTTTGTAAGAAATGTCAAAAATAGAAAACATGAAAGAATTTTTAAAGTTTTTAGTTTGGCAAATAGCTTTAAACGAGCAATTTATTGATAGTGAATCGAATTCACTATCAATAGAACAGATTTCATAGATTTCAGAGGTATGTATTTTTAACATTAAAATTCAAAACTAAGAGTTTTTCTTCTTGTATTATTGAATATTTATCCTTTGGTTTTAGTTAAACATTTATGAAACTAAACTATTTGGAGTAAATATTTTTAATTCCTTTCTTTTTTGAGAATTTGCCTTCATTAATCTAAATATAGCAGATTAGAAATTAATTGCACAAAATAATATAGCCCCATTGTTGCTCATGTATTAGAAATCAATCTCATTTCATATATAGTATCATAATAATTTGTAGATATATTTTTGACAAAAAGGAAATTTGATAAAACTGAAATATTTTATAAATTATTCTAAATTATGATAAGATCATATGAAAAATTTTATTCAAATATAATCTAATTATTGGCTATGTATATTTTTTGAATATTTATTTACAGTAAATGCTTCAAATTTGAATTTAAAATAGTATATAATTTAGAAATATTGACCATGATTAATTAGAATTAAGATGGTAAAGGCAAATTATTCAAGACAAATATGCATCAAGTTCAGCATTTTTTGGTTGCCATTACTTTAAAAAGCAATTAAAACTCTAAATGAAATATTTGTTAAATAGACACATGGTTAAGTTGGTCATATCTAATCTATAAAGTTAAAAAGAATGATTATTTAATCTTAAACTATCTGTTATCTGTGTATATCTTTTTTTTTAACTGTTTGCAATCAGATTATGAAGGACAGTGTCATGATCTATCTCTTGCTATTAACAGATTTCAAAAAATTGTAACATTTAATGCAAGATCATATTACTTCATATCCAAAACAATTAACTAATATACATACTTGCATACATCTTTTAAGATTTCCTTAATATTTGGCTTCATTCAAATCTTCAGGATAACATTTTTTTCCTTTTTTCGAGAAAGATTTTATTTTCATAATAATTATTTTAAGATGTTATATTATAATAATTCTTATCATAAAGCCTTTATTATAATTTTCATTATCAATCTTTTATTATCGATAAGAAAGACTTGCTTTAAATAAAATTATCATTATTTTATTATTTATTGTAGAAAAATTAAATAGAATATATTAATAAGTAGTCTCAAAAAATAAGAGAGATAGATTTTTTAGATCTTTAATAAGTACTATGCTAAAAACTTTATAATATTTATCAATATTCAATAATATTGAATTAGAATTACTTCCTCAACAAATGAATTATAAAGTATCTATTTGATTTAAAAATTGAAATTTTCAATAATTATGACCAGCTCTTAAATTGCCTCAGTTACAACAAATAAGTCAAGTTTACAGAGTAATAATTTATTTGGATTATCACAAGAGTGTTTAATTGAAAATGTTTAGCTCTTATCACATTTTTAACAATTAACAAACTTAATCATTCTATTTAAGCCTTAATAACAAGCAATTTATATTAAAAAATTAATTTATTTAGTTTACTGATCAATGAGTATTCTATAAATACCATTTTAATTGAAAATTTAATTTTGTTATTCAAATTGAATAAAAGATTTCAGATTAAAGTCTAGATTTTATTTGTGAAATATTTAAATCTTGGAATATTTAAGTTATTTATATTATTTAGTAAAAGTATTAGAAACCCAGACAGGTAAATGAAAATTTTTAGAATATAAAGGATCTGCTGCTGATTCAGCTATTTTATAAATTAATTCACCCGGACTAGTTGTTAGATCACGAGATTAAATTAAATTGATTGCATCACTTTATGATAAAATGAAACCTAAATAAGTAAGTAGGAAAGTTTTCTTTGGTAATACGGGGACTGCAATAATAACTTCACTCATAGCAGCTTTTACTCCCAAATTAACAAATGCTTCCTCTATACCTAATATTATTTGATAACCAAGTTGTTTTATATTATTTGTATTAGATATACCGACAGATACATTTAAAGAAGTTATTTAAATTATCTGAAGAAAAATAATTACAACGATAATACCTCTATTTAAAAATTAATTGCACCTAAAAAGGAAAAGCTTGTCCAAGTAAGAAATCCAGTCAAAGCATTAGGATTATTGTGTTGAAATGTTTCATTTATCGGATTATCTCTATTAAAGCAATTGATAACCTAAATTCTTTGATCATTAAATGCATACCATTCCACTTCTACTTTAAAAACCTGATTTGTTTTTGGACATTCAAACTAAATTTTATAATCATAAATTATCAAATGGCATTACTTAAAGTTGTTATATCCTTTGTTTCAAATCGAAATTCTACCTCATTATGTATTATACTAATCCAGGGTAAAGTGAAAAATATTTAGGGAGCTTGAGGAAATTAATTTGGAAAAGTAACTTAATAAGTTTAGAATTATTTTGTAGTGCATTCCATTGCTAAAGTCCCATTTTAAAAGATATTTTATGAAAGCGCCTTTTAGATTAAGAAATATAAAATTAGCATAAATTAAAATTTAATTAATTTACTAAAGAGCTTCGATGATAAATAGGAGTCTTTTTTACATCTCTTTTTATATTAATATTAAATAACTCAATTATCCTAAATTTAATTGAATAATTAAGATTTCCAATTAATATCTATAATTAATATTAAAATAAAGAACTAAGTAAGTCTATAATTCTTGGTAGTAATTAGTGATAAATAAGAAACTACAATAAAGCTTCTAAAATTAAAGATAAACTAACTAATTTTATTGAAGAAAAATAAAAACTCATTTGTGTGATGCTATTGAAAAGTGAATATAAAAATATTAATTCTACTTTTTTTGAATAAAAATTTAAATGTTAGTAAATAATAGGATAATGAAGCTCTTTTTAAATTTAATTTTATCATAACAATTTATATATATTCTAAAATGCCATATTTAATTAATTTTTACAAAGCATACATAAATAATATAATTCAATTATATAAATCCTATGAGATGATTTGAAAATTTTTATTAAAAAAATAGAAATATATCAATTCATCGATGTCAAAATGTAATAGTAGATCAATTAGACACACTAATATATTAAAATTAACATTAGATTCAATCAATTATTATTGTTTTAGAGGATAAAGAATTAATGATTTGATAGATAAAATTCAAGATGTAAAAGAAAGAATTTGCTATGAAGTAACAGATTCTGTTGAAATATATCCTGGATATTTAGAGTGAAACTATTTAAATAATTGATCAAATGATAAACCTCATCTTGATGTGGAAGAATGAATTGCATGGTCTAGGTTTGCTCTAATTAAGAATTACAACTTTTTGTAGGAGAAGAATTTAATAAAGATTATTAATTACTTGTAACAGAATATTTTACAGAAATTTTTGTATGGAAATTAATAGATTAAAATACTAAATCTAAATTATGGTAGGGAGTAAAATAGATTGTTTTTAGCAAAAAGAACGATTGGTTTGTGTTCAGCATGGAATAACAAAGTATTAAATGTTGTTTAGAGAGAGAAAAATCTTCGTTCAATTCTCATAATGGGGAAATTTCTAAAACATATAAAAATAGATTATAAGTTTGATTTTAAATAACAAAGAAGATCTTTTCGTATCTAGTAGTGAAGATAAAACTTTAATGTTTAGGAAGTTAATATGATTAAAAATTCTATCACCTTTTTATATTCACTTGATCCACCTATTTCTTCTATTTCTTTCATTTTTCTAATAACTTTAAGTTTAAATGAGACTACATTAGTGTCTAGCAGTGTGAAATCAATTCTTCGAGCTTTAGATAATAACTATAATTGGGTTCTAATTTACTATCTTTAAGATAGAAAAAGGATTATTTTAGGAGCTATCTCATATCAAAATTGAAATAATTGATAAATCACATAAAAATAAAAATATTCACTCAAAATAATAGTGATATCTAAGTATTATATAATTTGGTTAAAAAATATTTATTTTGAAGTAATGGTAATTTTATGTTGAATAAAATATTAATTTTGGTTTATCCTTTAAGGTTGTTATTTCTAAAGATAAAAAATATATGGAACATCAAAAGGATGTATATGTTTACAAGATAAAGCATTATTTGCTTCAACTTGCACAGACTGGTAGTTACTTAATAGATGTTATAATTTCAAACCAAAAAGTCCTATCTATTTAAAGAATTGGGTTTAACCTTTAGATGATTCTTTTTAGGAAGTTTAAATTTGTGGAAAAAGATCTTAATTAAATTTTTATGATCTATTATAAAATTAAATTACTACAGCGTAAGATTGTAAAGATAATGGTTATAAAGTTTGTTAAACTTAAAATACAAATAATTTTTATTGCGTTCTTTAAGAAGAACCATGTCCTATACGTGATTTCAAAATTTCTAGATATGAATTATCACATAAAGAATTAGAATTAAATGGTTATAATTTAATTTATAGTAATGGATTCTATGCATATATAAGTCAATAAATAGAGAAAACTCCTTTGGTAAGTATGACTATTGTAAAAGGTAGAGGAGTTTGTTTTGATCCATAAAAAATTAGTTTAAATCCAAAGCTAGACTAAGATTATTTCTTGTTATCTCCAAAACCAGAAAATTGTGAAATAGATAATACTTACTTTTAAGTAGCAACAACAACCGAAAAAGAATTCTTTTATTTCAACAAAATTGAAGCTAAACTTTAATCAGAAAGACCTTTATATTCAATAGGTGATACTATTGAATATTAATTACTTGCTTAAAACCAAATATAATATAAAATAGAGTTCAGACTTAATAAGTAACAAATATTATTATATATAGTTTTTCATAAATTATTAATCTAAGTTAAAGATTTGACTCTTAAAATACATTAATTACATGCTAATTAGTATTTGCATGTATTTTATTTTGTCTTATGTTTTTTTTTTCTATTTTTGAAGTTTAGCCTTGTATACAAAAGAATTGTAAATTGTGCTGTGCTATTCCAAGGTATATAATATAATCAAAGAAACTTCTATATATTTGTTTGCTATAACTGTAATTTTTTGTTATTCCTACATGATCGATTTGGTAGTAAATTTAGAAGAATCTATTTCAAGAAATTGTTTCTTGGATGGTGCTTAAGAGAGAATGAATTCAGTATATCGTACAATGGTAGGTACTTCTTTATCACTTTCTTATTGTCTCCTAATAAATATGGGGATAATGATAATTATTGACTTTGTTATGACAACCTTTTTATGTTATAAAATAATGAAGAAACGTAAAGCATTGGGAACTTCAGAAAATAACAATTAAAATAATTAAAATAAAAATGAAAACATTAATTAAAATAAAGAATAAAATCCTAATTAAAACTTGGATTAAGCAACAAATTAAAATTTTATGTACAACCCTTATTTGCAATAATAAAATTATTAAACTGCTGCTCCTTATTGTTAATATGGCCTAGCCCCATAAATATAAAATTAATAATTTTAATAGAACCAGAACCATGTTCAATAATAAATTAGAATTGAAAGTTAAAAGGAACCATAAGTAAACTAACAAGAATAGAAAGTAAATATAGACAATCTTATAAATCTTAAAGGAGATAAATAAGAAGTCTAATGAAGAAATAGATTGAATTTATATGCTAAGTTGCAATCAATAGAAAATCCATTAAAAACATTATACTTCTAAAATATAACATCTTCGTTAAATCAAAAAAGGACTGTTCTCTTAATTTCTACGTCGCTTTTTATTTTAATTCTGAAATACTTTGTTTCTTAATATATTTATTAATGCATAAATGATTAATTTTTATTATAAGTCTAAATTTTTCAAACAAAAGAAGATTTTTAAGGCTAAACTCATTTTTTGCTTGATACAAAAGTAAAATAAATAATATAGATAATATGATGACAATCTTGTTATTTTTGCCTATCTCTTCTCAATATTCAATATTAAAATGATAAAATGTCAAATAGTTTTATGTTGTTCCTTTTACAACTTACAATCAAATTTTAATTCTCATTGTATTTATAATACCATATTAAACTCATTTGCATCATCTAAACTGGTAGGGTAGTCAATATTAAAAATTACTAGATATTTCTCATTAAAAAAAAAATTTAGAATTAGTTGAAACATGAAAGACTTTACAATTAAACAGTATACTCTTTCGACAATCCTCTCAGAATGCAAAATTTCAAACACTTCAATCAGATTTTTAATGAATCCATTGAAAATAAGTAGATTTAAACAATAAAAATATTATATTCTATTTATTTTTTGAATATATCTTACCTTTAAATTAATAATTGTCAAAAATTTTTCATTTTTAAATAAAAAGAGTAGATAAATATTATTCTTTTTCGCTTCGAAATGGCTCCTAATCATCATAATAAAAAAAAATATTTTAAAAGGATGCTTTAAGGAATAATTAATCGTTATTGTAAGGAGTTTTTTAAATTCAAAATTAATCATTTAAATTTAAAATGAAAATAATATATGAAATTTATTATTAATAAATATGTTGCTATAGGAACTTATTGATTATTTTAAGAAAAAAATAATAATAAAATATTGTAGATATCATTTCCCAAATGATGGCTGTGTATAAAAAACTAGTTAAAAGTTCAAAAAATTGGAATGATCCTTATTGCTGGATTTACTCAACTACTTAATTTTATTTGATAATATTATGAAAAACTTTCTATAGAATTGATGGGACTATAATAGCATCAGGCAATAAAGATGAATCTATTTGTATTTGGGATAGTTTTTCATTAATATGAGGTAACAATGATAATTCTATCTCGTTATGGGATTAATTCAGCGAATCAAATTAAGCCCTCAAATAATAATTATTAAAATTTACTTGCTTAAGCTGAAAACTCCATTTTAAAAAATTTTTATAATAAGAAAATTATTTCGTTTTCTATTTTAATTAAGGATTTTCTTACAATATACTGTATTTTCAAAATAAGAATAATTAGAAGCAAAAGAACTTTAATTATGGATGGATCATTCATAAATCACTTTAGAATGGACTTAAGAAAACTCTTTCAAAATAAATGAAATATTATTTTAGAGAAATCAAAAGATTTAGAATAAATTATGATCTTTACTTTTTTTAAATATATTTAAAATTTTAATTCTATTAAAAAAAATATTATATAAACCTTAATTGATTTATATTTAGATATTTTTCATTCTTGATGTTAAATCTATTCGATTCTTTAATACGAACGATAATTTAAAAATTATTGATGAATTAATAAAAGTTTAATAAAGGAGGTATTTGAACATTTGATGAAAATATACATTTCTTGATTTAATTCAAAAATTTTTCAAAAAAAATATTATTGATTATCAAAGTAAAAGATTATTAAAATATTTCTTGTTCTTGAAATATTTTAGAAAATTTAAATCAATTAGTTTAGATGATGAAAATTAATAAAGAACGATACTTAATTATTTTTATTTTGAAAAATAGAAAAGATTATTTTATAGGAAAAATATAAAAATTTTTATTTTATCTGATATAAAAATATTCTATAAAGATACAAAAGTTAAAATTGCATATTTTTCTTTTATATGAATTAAATAGGTCAATCAGAATATTTTTCTTCATTCCTAAATTAATTTTTAATAATTTTGATATTTACATTATCTAATTTCCAAAAATCCATTGCCAAATTCCTAATTTTTTACCCTTGACATATTGACCACTCATAGTTATTTAGCCATACCTTTTAAATAAAAAATATAAAAACAATACTCATAAAATCCATCAATTAATTCAACCCAACTTCCAATTTTAATTGAATCTGAGTTCTGATCTCCTACTAAATCATTATCATATTATCCACCCCCTCTATTTATCATAGAAAAAAAAGATATAAATTGTAAAATATTAAAATATTTACATTTGTTCATTCTTATAAAATATATCCCATCTTCCAACTTTTTTCCCATTATAATATTCCCCTTTATAAATAACCTAACTTTCACTAATAAAGATATTCAATAGTTGACAATACCTATTAAATGTATCACTCAACTCTATCCATTTTCCATTCTTAAATGATTATATATCAATTCCTATAATTTTTTCAACATATGAACCACCACCACTAAATTAAAACATTTAAATGAAATATTTTCTTACATATATTCATTTTACTCAGTTTCTTAATCATTATAATATATATCCCATTTACCAACTTTGTAACCATTTAAATATTCACCATAATATGTTACTTATTTATCTCTAATTAAATATAATGATTCAATACCTCCAAAATCCATCAGTTAATTCAATCCATTTNTTATGCATAAATGATTAATTTCTTTATCATAAGCCTAAATTTTTCAAACAAAAGAAGATTATTAAGGCTAAAATCATTTTTTTGCTTGATACTAAAGTAAAATAAATAATATAGATAATTAAATGATGGCAATCTTGTTATTTTTGCCTCTTTCTTCTAATAGTTTTATTTTGTTCCTTTTACAACTTATAATCAAATTTTTAATTCTCATTGTATTATAATACCATATTAAACTCATTTGCATCATCTAAACTGGTAGGGTAGTCAATATTAAAAAATCTAGATATTTCTCATTAAAAAAGAAATTTAGAATTAGTTGAAACATGAAAGATTTAACAATTAAACAGTATACTCTTTCTACAATCCTCACAGAATGCAAAATTTCAAATACTTCAATCAGATTTTTAATGAATCCAATGAAAATAAGTAGATTTAAATAATAAAAATATTATATTCTATTTATTATTTTGAATATATCTTACCTTTAAATTAATAATTGTCAAAAATTTTTCATTTTTAAATAAAAAGAGTAGATAAATATTTTTCTTTTTCGCTTTGGAATGGCTCCCAAACATCAAAATGAAAAAAAATATTTTAAAAGGATGCTTAAAGGAATAATTAGGAGTTTTTTATATTCAAAATTAATCATTTAAATTTAAAATGAAAATAATATGAAATTTATCATTAAATAAATATGTTGCTATGGGAACTTATTGATTATTTTAAGAAAAAAATAATAATAAAATATTGTAGATATCATTCACAAATGAAGGCTGTGTATAAAAAACTAGTTAAAAGTTCAAAAAATTGGAATGTTCTTGATGTTAAATCTATTCAATTCTTTAATACGAACGATAATTATATAATTAATGATGAATTAATAAAAGTTTAATGAAGGACATATTTGAACATTTGATGAAAATATACATTTCTTGATATAATTCAAAAAATTTTCAAAAAAAATATTATTGATTATGAAAGTCAAAGATTTTAGAAATATTTCTTGTTTTTGAAATATTTTAGAAAATTTAAATCAAATAGTTTAGATGTTGAAAATGAATAAAGAACGATACTTAATTATTTTTATTTTGAAAATTAGAAAACATTATTTTATATGAATCTAAAATATGTCTTGTATATGAATCTAAAATATGTCTTGTATATGAATCTAAAATAAGAATTATGAATTAAATAGGTCAATCAGAATATTTTTCTTCATTCCAAAATTAATTTTTAATAGTTTTGAGATTTACATCATCTAATTTCCAAACATCCATTGCCAAATTCCTAATTATTTACCCTTGACATATTCACCACTCATATTTACTTAGCCATACCTTTTAAATAAAAATAACAATACTCATAAAATCCATCAATTAATTCATCTAAGTACTGATCTCTTACTAAATCATTATCATATTATCCACCCCCTCTATTAATCATAGAAAAAAAAGATATAAATTGTAAAATATTAAAATATTTACATTTGTTCGTTCTTATAAAATATATCCCATCTTCCAACTTTTTTCCCATTTTAATATTCCCCTTTATAAATAACCTAACTTTCACTAATAAAGATATTCAATAGTTGACAATACCTATTAAATTTATCACTCAACTCTATCCATTTTCCAATCTTAATTGAATATATATCAATTCCTATAATTTTTTCAACATATGAATCACCACCACGAAATTAAAAAATTTAAATGAAATATTTTCTTACATATATTCATTTTACTCAGTTTCTTAATTATTATAATATATATCCCATTTACCAACTTTGTAACCATTTAAATATTCACCATAATATGTCACTTATTTATCTCTAATTAAAAACAATGATTCAATACCTCCAAAATCCATCAGTTAATTCAATCCATTGTCCATTCTTAAATGAACCTAAAACAGAATTATCTTCTAACTATTTATAGTATCCTCCTCCACTAAAATAGATTAAACTATGAAATAATGGTTTACATTATTTAAAAAGATTAATTATCAGATATCCTGTACTTTATATCCCAAAGACCAACTTTTTTACCATATTTATACTCACCAATATTGATAACTTAACTCAAACTAAATAATAAATATTTAATCAATAAATTTACTTCCAAAATCCGTCATCTGGTTCTATCCATCTTCCTATTTTAATTGAATCTATAAAATTATTCTATTGATCATAAAATCCAAAAGCTCTAAATTTTCATAATAATTAAATTAATTATAATTCTTTTGTTACATTAATTTAAATGACTTATTTGCATTCCTTTTATACAAAATATCCCAGATACCATATTTCTTACCATTAATATATTCGCCTTTATAAATAATAAGACTTATGCTAAAAAATAACTATAAAAATATCTTCTACTTTTAAAAGTTTTAACTTAATTCAATCCATCTTCCATTTTTTTTACCTTGATTATTATAATTTCCTCCTCCTCTAAAATATAATTGATTCAAAAATACATTTATTTATTATCATATATAAACTTCCATGTTCCTCTTCTCTGATTATTGATGTATTTTCCAACATCATAGATTTGAACATCATTCCTAATATAAATATTTTAATATTTTGAGAACCCTTAATAATTTTGGCTTAACTCCTTCCATAGACCTTCTTTCTTTCCAACAATAGAGTAATATCCACCAACATCTTCAAGGGTTATTTAATTCCAACTTCCTGTCCATCTATCAACCTTTTAAGAGTTCTATCCGTAATTTCCACACCATTAAAAATATTTAATCTATTCTAAATTAGTTAATATTTCACTCATTTACAATTAATCCTTTACTTATTCACTTGATATTAAATAAAAATATACATTCTTATAATCTATCCATTTTATATGTAACTTACCTCTTTTTCTTCATTAAATTTAATTAGGATTGTAATCTTTTTAAATTTACAGCTAAGAGAATCCCATATTGTACATTCAATTTATTCAATTTCCCTATGTTATTAATCTTCTGATTCAGTTTATTATATTCAAAGATAATTAAAAATAACTTTGCTTACTTCTATAACAATTTGTTTTTTTCCTTTTCCTTTAAGCTACCTGTAAAGTTGTTCATATCTCAAATTGTTATTATTTTAAACTTTTTCTAAAGAATTTATTATAAACTTAATTTTTTATACATTTTTATAATTTTCTATCACTCTCCTTTTTTATTCTATGAAATTATATCTACATAAATAATTTGAGCAGAAATTTCTAGAATAAATTCATATTGTATTCAATAATTTCAAAATAAATGCCTTAATACAGCAATTAAATTATTTTCTAAAATTATATATGAGTGGATTAAGCAGCAATCATAAAAAAATTGAGAATTCTACTTATATATAATATCTTTTATAATAATTTGTTCAAATATTAAATATTTGATTCCTAAACAAAATTTCAAATAAATAAATCATAGATTGTAAAAAAATTGATTTAGGTCATTCACTAGCAATAGTTAATATATAATAATAATTTTATTGTTTTACATCTACGGATTGCGATTTTTTTGAAGAGGCTTCAAAAATTAGAAGACACATCTTTTTAATAAAGAGAATTTTAGAAAGGAGCTTATTTTCAGGTGTCTATAGGATCTAGATTAATTTAAGAATTAAGAATTGTAACATTAAAGTTAACAAAAGTGATTTAAAACTTCTATATGGAATCTAGAATAGAAATATCTTTATTATTACAAATATACCCTTGTGAGATAGAGCAAATATTTTTTCTATAGCTGAGAATATCATTTTCTAATTCTGTTTGATCAAACTACTTCTAACAATTTTTTAACTTTAAATTATCTTAATTAATTGAGATGAATTACTATTAACAATTAGTTTTTATAAATTTCATCAATTCTTCAGTTAACATAAAGTTAACCGAGAATCTCAAAAACTTAGATGAATATTGAAATTATGTCTTTCTTTCTATTAGATGATTCAATGAAGCTGTTACAAATTTATAGAACAAAAATGAAGTTAAACAATTATATTTGGTTGTATCGGAGGGAGGATCAGATGAGTAAGATTATTTTAAAGTTAGCTATAAAAATTATGAAGCCAAAAATAATTTTAAAAATTCTGTCTTTTTTTTAAGCTTTTTAAAAACTGCGGATAATAAAATTTATTTAAAATAATGGTTGAAATTTATGTGATTATTTATAAAAAAATTATTAAAACAATTAAATCTTATCAATTAAGTGAAAAAATAGGATAAAAGATCATTATCTTTTTGAGGGTAATTGAAACTTTAATCCTTTCTACCATTAAAATGACAGAATTAGTAGGAGAATCTATTCAATGGTATTAATTAAGACAATTTTAGCTACTTTCTTGATAAAAAATTAGAGAGAGCGATAAATCTACTTAATCTGTTAACTTTAAAAAGGTTATTTGCTGCATGTTGGTCATATATATTATTAGTTGATGAAAAGATAAAGAAAAATTAAGAGCTTGAAAATATAATTTACTTTTATTTAATTGTTTTGAAAATAGAGTTGGAATTTCCTGAATAATTAATATGATAAAATTATAAATAGGATTTGATTATTAAAAAAAGATAATGTAAAGTCTCAGTTATGAAATAATGAAAAATAAATTAAGAAGGAAAAGGAACTCAATATTAAACAATTTTGGCCTTCAAAATTAGTTTCACAATAATTATTGTGTATACTTAATGTGCAAATTAATGGCTTAAGAATTTAGTATGCGTAAATGAGTAAGATACTTGCTGAACAGCATTTTGGAACCTACCTATAAGTACATCCAGAATTAGTTAAGAATTCCCTAAATTGTTTAATTCCAATGATAATCTCGTCTAATTAAAAATGATTTTTAAAAGCAGTAAAAATTAACTGGGAGTTCCAAAAATTTTCAGCTCAAGATTTAATCAATCTGGATGATTAACATTAATTAATCTAAAAAAATGGAATCATAATAATAATTATTGCAATTGAATATGAGAAAAATCGATAATAGTACGATAATTATATAATAAAAATAAAATACTTACTCGGCAAATTAAAGTTAGCTAAAAAAATTATAAAATTGCATTCAAATATTCCAATCATAATTTAATTCCTCCGTTTGAGTAGAATTCTTTATACTTTTATCTCATAAAATGCATTTTTAGATTTTTGCATTGCTTGATTTTATACTCTCATTTTACAATTTTATATTTATTTATATATTTTAATTTATTCTGAAATCTTTAAAAAAGTTATTTCCAGGATTATTTTTAACTATTAATCCATTTTAATGATTCATATTGCTTGGCTTAGGCATTATCTTATCCTAATTGTAAAATTGAGGATGGCTCTTTTATTAAAAATTCCCTTAATGAGGTAATAATTAAATCCAATATTTTCTATTTTTTTAAATTTTAATGAGATGAACAAAATTAAAAAAAAATAATTTAAAAATCAAAACATAATAGTGATCCAGCTTTGACTTTTGTCATGTAATAGTAGAGTAAACCCAATCATTACTTAATATTATGGTTTTCTTAAAAAGGTTATTATATTATATTTAAAAATATTAATAAATTTTATAATATATATCATTTGCAAATTATTTCAAATATAGACCTGTAATGACAGTGGTAGTTCATAAATACTTATTATTTCATAATTTGTTGGACATGATGTAGATAATTGAATTTCAAGTAAGACTCCTTGTTACCAATTTTCCAGTATATTTTTCATTTAAGAAGTAGAAGCTGAATTTGTACTTTATATAATAGCTGCCAATATGATTGCTACTATTGACAACATTAATATAAGAACTATGTTCAAATATCTATAAGTCCTTCTCTTGCGACCAGAAATGTTTTCTCTATAGCCTTGATAGCAGCAATATAGACAAATAAATATTCCTACAGATCCATTTCTTTCACCATAAGTATTTGCACAGCAACATTTGCAACAACAAAACAGGATTTCCATTTTATGTGGTTATTTCTTAATAAATTTTATTAAACAAAAGTCTATAAACTTTAATAATCGGAATTCTATATAAATATCTTAAATAAAAAAATATTTAACATTTTTTACTGTATTTTGAACCTAAACTTGCTTCTTTAGAGAATTTAAAAGTTTTTCTTATTTTTAATTAACCATATATAGTTTTTTAATGAATCTATTAAAATTGAATATTTATTCTAATTGATATTTATATTTAAATATATAGTATTAGGCTCGTGGATAAAGAAAAAATAACTATAGCGATTTTTACACTAATCTAATTTAAAATAAAAAATCAATTTAAATAAAATTTTAGAATGCAAAAAACAAAGATATCAATATATTTGTGTTTAAAGGGTGTATGAAAAGAACACTTTTGTCAATATAAAAAGAATCTAAGAGTTGCAAGTAAATTTGAGCAATAATTTTATTGTTTTATATAAAAGTGTCATTTTTAATAAAATTATTTCAATTTAATCAAAGAACATTTATTCTTATTTTTTCATCACCAAAGGGAAACTTCTTCTGGTTTTCAATTTTTGTTTTTAAATTCTTATTTTGTATCAATTTTTTCTAGTTTGATTACTTTCTGATAGAATCTGAGAGTTCTTAAGTAGTTTTAATTTTTTATTTTGTTATTTTTATTATATATTCCTATTTAATTTGTTTAATTTATGTTATATTTATTCATCATTTAAAATATATTTGTTCACAATTAATACATACTACTTTCAAAAACTGATTCATAAAAATCATCGATTTCTACAATATTATTCATTTATTCTTAATAGTCTTGATTATTATTTCTGATTAAAAATATACAATTTACTTGATGAGATGTCTTAAAATTTATACATAACTATTGAAAATTGTATTATTCAATATATAATATCTTTATTGTA